TGCAGGCCGGGGCCGCGACGGCCGCAGAGCCTCCGTACCATGCGGGATTCCCACAAACTCACCCGATATTTTGTTTGTTCCGATGTCATAGGGCGCGAACACCCACATCATTAGTTTTAAGTCCATAACGCTCCTCATTGTAAATCCGTATCAATACTACTTGTATGTCCGACCCGTGATTTATAATCGTGGGAAATTAAATCGAGATAAAAAGGGATGTCTGATTATATAGGTAAACGTATGTAAAAGGTAGTACACTGTATTAACTTACAAAATAATTGTTGTAACTAAATATAATGTAAAAGTAAACAAAACGTCTGGAAGTACGAAAGTTATCGTGCTGCAGCCGAGGCGGTGGCGCGCCCGCGGGCCGGCGCAGGCGCACTGATGCCGCCTATCGACTCGCCGTTCCCTTAATTATTAATTAACAGTTATCGCCGGGGATTATTAATAAAACATTCGTCCTGACTATTGGCACTTAGATTAGCGTCGAGGGAGTAATGGCGCATTTCAACAATTTCGGTTGTTATTTAATTGAAGTCAATTTAGATGATCAGAGTCTATTTAGGTTGGTGCTGGCGCTCGCCAGCGGGATCTCTGCTTCATTGGGCTTATTGGTGACTTTCAGACAACACGAATTGCACTCGCCGATGCACTTCTCGGCGCATCTGCACTTTGTGGACATGCGAAAACACCTTGTTGACACTTTACATACTGGAAGTACTAAGTGTCGCGCGGAGTTTAGTGATTTTAAGTCGAATGAAACATAGTTTAGTATATTTTGGTGTTGTGATATAGTTACATATGTTTTGTAAAAGCAACTTATTGCGCTTTGAGTGACGATGAGAACGTTTAAGATGAAGCGCACTTGTGCGACTTGAACCCGGAAGTGCATGAACAATACAAAGTGACTCACACTGAGTGCCCTGAAAGCTTTATTCGGATAACAACAAGCAAGTGTAAGTTTTTAAGCTAACATAGTGTTATATTGCGAATAAATTGGAAATTTGGTTTTAAGTATAGATTATGTAGAGAATATTTTTTTTTGACCGACTTGCCAAAAATAAGGAGGTACTGAATTCGCCTGTATATTTTTTTTAAATCATCTGATTTAAAAAGTTAAGTATTTACTTACTTCGTTTTAAAACAAACATTACTTTCTAGATTAGGAAAATAACCTTTTATTAGATAACAAAGGTAGAAGCTTAAGAACTATACGCGAAACTCTATTTAAAAGCCGCAAAATTAATAATTTCATTGTTTATACTCATTTAGTTATATTGATTATAATTCAGGCATATTTAAGCTACTAAATTTGAATGCATCCCATTATACCCTAGGGTCTGCGGTCGTATAGCGATAGAAGCACTCTTCGCCATTTGAAGCGTCATGAAAAACGAATAGCATTTTTTTGTCTCACTCTCGACTTATATACTAAGAAAACAAAAGACAAAGTAGTAAGAAACAGTTATACATGTTAAGTTTCGGAAGTACCATACGGAAATGCGCATCGCTTTAGCCCTTTACCACTCATAACATGCGTACAATTCATCTCTAGCATTCTAGTATCTTCTATTTTTACATCAATAAAATAACATACAAACGCAGGATGGATAAACATTTTCCATATCATAGATTAAAAATAGTAAGTTAAATTATGTTATTCATTAAGGTAATGGCTTTCGCCCGCGACTCCGTCCGCGTGGAATTAAAAAAAAAACTAAGTATCCTGTGTGTTCTTCCAGACTGTACTCTACATTTATGCCAAATTTCATCGATATCCGTTCAGCCGTTTAGGCTACAAACTCTAACAAACATGCATCCATCTAAACTTTCGCATTTATAATATTAGTAAGATTTACTGTAACTCTGTTATTTAATCTTTACATAAACAGTCTAGGTATGAATTCATGTTAAACATAAACTAAGAGACTCCCTTAATGACCGAATAATTATGAGTATAGCAGTTAGTGGCAAAGTCACGCGATATTCAGAT